ATATTGGGAAGCTGCTCTATCTTCTGCTATTTATTATCTTTGGTTGAACCCATTTTGTGTCGCCGATAGTAATTTTCCCGCCAATTTTATTAGTTAACGTTTTAGGAAAGCATGTTTGTACATGTAAATAATAATAATAGATGGATTTATATCGCGCAAATAAACGAGGTCACTATGCGTCTTGATGACATGTTATCATGTCATCAAAAACATTGTGTTATGTAACAGAAAAAGTACTGTAAAATCTTGCTCAATTCGCATTTTACTTAACAGCAAATTGTTCTTACCACCACAAACACACACTTTTCTTTGATCCTCCTACAGTAAGTAGGCCAACCAACAGTACCAATGAAAATTATACCCTCTCTGATTTCACTTTTAGGTACAAAAACTGACTCACTCAATTATTGCAGGATGTCAAATTTAATATTTGAATCAGATATTAATAGGCTGCTGAAACTTGATGGACCAACTGGTGGACCGTCAAGTCGTTGGCAACGAAAAAAAGAAGAAGCCAGCAGCAACAATGTCTCTTTAAACAAAAGTGTAAATGCTAGCTGCAATAAAACACCCATGAAAATGTGTAACCGTTCCTACAGTTCAAAGACACCAGGGAAAACACCAAAAACTCCATCTTCAAGAACACCAGGTAAATATATATAATCAGCTTGTGAAAAGAGTTGAATGATGTATTTGAAATGCAAACTATACTTTTTATTTTATTCTGTTCCTTAAAAAAATAATATTTGTAAACATGTAATAGCTGTGTTCAGTAATACACTATACAAAAGGGCAGAAAAGCCAAAGAAAGAAAAAAGGCCCAAAGGGGAAATGAAAGAGGAACACAAGGGGGGAAGTACACCATTAAATAATAGGGTTATGTACTGAGAATGAGAATTAAATCTCAATGTATTGTATACATTCAGAACTACAGTAGAAACATACATGAATGGTCTTGTTTGTATTTAAAGGCAGGTCAAAAACACCATCTAAGACACCAGTTGGTGACCGTTTCATACCAAATCGTACTAGTACCAATTTTGATGTAGCCAACTTTAAAGTTTTGCAACAGACAACAGCTGCACAAGGTAGTAATTTGAGTACAAATCAGGAGTACATGAGCCCATCAAAGGTTGCATTTAGAAAGACCATGAATGAAAATCTGAATGGTGATGTCTTGAATACAAAGATTCTATCCTACAAAAGCAAACCACCATCTGCTCCTGAAGGTAAATAGCACAATCAATAAGCTGTTGAATTAGAGAATACAGTAGTATTAAATTGAGAATACAGGTCTTATGTGAAGCAGTTGAAAGTAAAAGGAAGTGGAAATGTTTTGTAATATGTGAATATGTGAAATCTGTGTGTACATGCTGGGCCACCATCATGTACAGTACCTAATTTAACTCCAGGTTGCACGGCACACCTTAATTTTGATAGGTTGTGATGAAACGTATCTGCAAGGGTGATGAAAATAAGGCCAAGAATAGCGCATAAATTATTCCATTTTTTTTTTTAGCTGTTAACCACTTGCATCATAAATTTGTTTAATTAAAAGCACTGCTATCTACTCTAACAAATTATTTAATTCATTGATTAATTCTTGTACTATCAGGATTTCAAAACAACTTAAAAGTGCTGTATAGTCAGAATAAAACACCAGGCTCCACACGGAAAACCATACGGCATATTCCACAGGTGGCAGAGAGAATATTGGATGCTCCAGACATACTTGATGATTATTGTGAGTTATTAAAAATATTAATAACTGGGTTTGTAATTATCAAATAATCGACTCAATCAAAACTATTTTCTGCTATAAACTACTATAGAAACCTTTAGTGACTAGTAGCGAGTTAACAGGTTCATAAATGCAAATAATATACAAACATTTTGAGTTTCTTGAGGAATTTTAGACATAGTATATTGGAATTAGGAATCAAGACAACTTTCTTTGTCTAGCTTTGATGGAATCCACTATTAGACAATACTTAAAACATACAGTATTTTGAAAACATTTAACAATTTGTTTTTATAGACTTGAATCTGATCGACTGGAGCTGCAACAATCATCTTGCTGTTTCACTAGCCAACAATGTGTACCTTTGGAATGCAACCTCTGGTGAGATCCAACAACTAGTGCAATTGGACAATGCTGATGAATATATTGCATCCGTATCATGGATTCCTGAAGGCAACTACTTGGCAGTGGGTACAAGTAATGGTGATGTTCAGGTAAATATAAAATTATATCTGATGGACAGATAACAACTGGTAAGCAGCTACAAAAGCGATCAGGTAATCAGCCAACATTTACTGATAGCGCCTGCTTAATAATACCAAATGGACTGATATTTTTTTGATATACATATTTATTCAAATAAACGTCCCGGGGCGCTTTACTGTTGAGAAGGGATTTTGAGGTGCCTTTATTTTTTTGTTGTAAAATGGATACATATACGATCAAATAAATGCCATTAATTTCACTGTAAATGTGATACTACAACAAATAATTACCATCCAAATGTGTTATTGCGTGATCATAAAGACTTTAATCTCATCCAGGTTAGAAAAATGTAATTCTGCTGGAGTTCAATACTAATAAAATGTGTTGAGAATGACGTTTCTATTAGATTTGTTTAGAGTCATTTATGGGACGTTTATTTGAGGAAAAAATTAATTCCCGCTGCATTTATTCGAGGGAGGCATTTATCCCAAATTAGGCTCTAGAGGGGGCGTTTATTTAAGGACCTTAAAATTGGAACACGCAAGGTAAATGTACAGAAAAACATTACAACTAACACAGATACTTCCAATTGTGTTTTATAATTGAATGTATATTATCATTTTTTTTGTCACACCCTCATTGATGTGCGAAGTTCAAAACCACACTCTTCATAAAAAAAAACTGGATTTAATCTTTTCTTTACAAGCCGTTACTTAATTTCATGAAGTAATATACAGTACTTGCTTATATTTGCCATGGACGTTTCAAGTTAATAGCTATTAACAACAATTGATTTGCATACAACATCCAATCATGAACCAGTACATTAGTTCTGAATAAGAAAACCAAATGAATATCTTACATACATACTTATGAAGGGTTGTGCATCCAGACGTGCTTGCCTCCTATCACCACAGACTTTTTAATCACTGTGTTCCCCTCATATGAAGACGGCTATTAATTAAATATAAATAACAAATTGCCAAAACCTGTAGGAACTCATTAATATTAATAATCTTTAACTTATTTTTTATAAAATGAATAAAGAAATATGTTACAACTTACATTGGAATTCTCTTTTGAGTTGTCCACAGCACAGTTAGATTTACCTCCAGTCAAAATATAGATTAGCTTTAACATCTATAAATACAAGAACTTTTACAGCTAACCTGTATTTGCCACACCCTTTCACTTTGGTAGTGTAGTTTCAAGTGACTGCTTTCTGCTCTACTGGCTACTGTTCTCATACAAATGAGTTTCACAATTAGCATACACCTGTACTCTTTGGCATATAACAGTACATAGGTAATCACTATAATACTTTGCACAGTAATCATGTAATCCTCTGATTATTAATGATGCTAACAACACTAATAATAATAATAATAATAATACTAATAACAATAATAAAAAATCATCACCCATAACAATGATGAAGAGCAATTGTCCAATCCGTATTTGTATACATTACAGCTCTGGGACATTGAACAACAAAAAAGGCTGAGAAACATGTCAGGCCATGCTGCACGTGTCAGTGCTTTAAGCTGGAATAGTTATATATTATCAAGGTTAGTTAAATTTCGACAGTGGATTTCTTTATGCTGATTGTTTTTAATGGCAATGATAAAAATAAAATTTTTCTTTATTTATTATGAGTATTATTTTTATTATTGTTGCTGTTTTTTTAAAGAATATTTATTGCATTATAATTATTGTTGTTGATGCTTATCTTTCATTATTATTTAATATTATAAATATTGCTATAAATATTATTATTTTTATGATTACAGTATTATTTTTTTCTATTTGTTTTATTTTTGTATTGTCTGTGTTGTTGTTTTCACTATTATCATTGATTTCTTTAATAGGCATCTTGTACAGGGACATGTTCTGTTTTGGCCTACCAGACTCTTTACATTTGAGTTTTGAGTGAAATAAAATTATGAATTAGGAATATTATAGTCACATCTAGTAGGAGAGCAAGATGTTTCCATGAACCTAAACAAACCTGTACAGGATTTTGTCAAGTGCAACTATATAGCTATTAAAATGTAACAGTACTCCATGATGTGTTTTTTTAAGTTATGATGCTGCTCTCATTCTACTGTGTATCTCTTTTTACCTGCTGTACAAACAAATTGAACATTTTATGTTAATATTTTAAACTTTGAGTTATTAATTTTCAGTGGTTCTCGTAGTGGAAAAATTAATTATTGTTGTTGATGCTTATCTTTCATTATTATTTAATATTATAAATATTGCTATAAATATTATTATTTTTATGATTACAGTATTATTTTTTTCTATT